GTCTGTTTGGATATTGGCTTTATGATCGGTTGTGTGAATCCAACCACTGTAGTCCTTCAACTGTGGTTTGTGGTTCAATGTTTTGCAACAGATATTTCTACCTACGCAAGAGGAAGAGGAGGTTCTGTTGGTTATGATTGCTGGAAACCCCAGAAAATGTTTTCTGCTACATTTCTAGGAAAAGAAGTATTAACAATATCTTGAAGTTCCCATCTGTGCTCTGGGGGGGCAATGTTTGCAAATTCCCTGTTTTGTTGCAGTTTCCCCTTTTAGGATCAGGGCCCCTTTTACAGTATATACCATCATACTACCAAGGAGTGCTTTATGTGACACCAGAGAAAGAAAGCTTGCTTGTGTTCCATCTTTGCAGACCATTATTTAATTCAATTTTTTCATGTGCCCAACTCCAACTGTGCTTATAAACTGTTATTAAACAATAACTTTTAATGTGGCTAAAGGAGAAGGGTCTTAAATATGTAGTCAAAGTCATATTGCCTGCTGCAATTTCGGGTTAATGTGTCTTTTTGCTGGAAGAGTTCTTTGGGCCTCTTAGAAAACCCCCCACAATTTTTCATTGGTGTGCAAGGAAAAATATTCCTAGGTGCAGTGAACTTGTGCTGTAAAGTGAAAAAAAGGAATGCTGAAACAATCTTTACTGGTACTAGACAGACCCCTCTGATACAAAGCACTGAGAATGAATATTACGTATTGTGAAATTTCATCAGACTTTCGTGACTTTAAAATTGTATTTCATTTTTGGTCATAATATATTAAGTAACACGTTAAACATTTCTGAGAAGGAAATACGTATGGTGGATCTACTTTAGAGGAAACAAATGCCTGATTGTGAAACTTATTGTTGCCTTACTTTTTCATCAAATGAGAAAAGAGTTAGCCTCTCAAATCAAGTATTTGAATGTTGGTCCAATCATAATTATCTTCAAAAATATAACAGTGTCTCTTTCTCAGATAATTTAAAAAATAGTGTCAGAGCAGAGTGGCCGCAGACTTTTGCCTTAATATTTTGCAAATGTGACACTGACTTTTAAGGGCAGTCCTACTTTCTCTCTCTCTCTCTCCTTTTTTCATGTTTAAATCTCTGCCAAATCTTACACTAAGCAAGAGGTTTCCATATTTTGGCCTATCAGTAGCTCTGGCATTCTAAGAGCAGGTTGTAATCACTTTCACAAAATGGTTGTCATAGACTAGAAGCAGCAGAGTCCATTGCAACCATCCACAATTTTATAAAATTAAACAGTCCTGGGAATTTAGTGAGTGCCAGGCATCCCCACAGGTCGGATTGAGATTTTTGCCATAGGTGATTGATTCTAAACAGTACACATAGCTGCTACCGATGCAGTGGCGGGTTGCGGATTCCGTTCCAACCGGTATGGTTGGAACGGGCTTGATGGCATCCACGCGCATTCGTCTTGGTGCTTCTGCGAGCCTCCACAACGCTCCAGCTGCTCAGCGGAGCATTGAGCAGGCGCTGTATGCGCTTTGCGCGGAAGCGCTGAAGGCATAAAATGACGGTAAGAAATGAGAGCAGAGGGGGGCGTGCGCCCTCCGGAGCACCGTACCAGAACGGTATCTGGTACTCCGGGCTGGCTCCGGTATGCCCGTACCGGGGCGTACCACCTGCAACCCACCACTGTACCAATGTTACATTTGAAAAAAGGTGCTTCAGACATTACATATTGTCAGAACTGCCATCCTGAGCTTTAAGCCTTGCTTTGCTGAATGCCAGCCTGCCCTAGATTGTGAGGGGAGGAAGCGGATAGGAAGAAGGAAACGGAAACTACTCGTTGTGCCTTCTTGAGACATCAGCACATCATCCCAAAGCCAGAGGGGAATGCAGCTGCTCGCATCTAGTCTGCCAATGCAGGGAATGTTACCAAAACAATTCCTTTGAATGTGACTGGACAACAGAGAGATAATAGGGTGGAAGGAGGGGAAAGGGAAAGTTAATTGGGTTCCGGCAGGCCTGGGGCTGTTGACCCCAAAATAGCAGTAGACTTATATACCGCTTCATAGGCCTTTCAGGCCTCTCTAAGCGGTTTACAG